GAAATAAAGAGACTCAACACAGTTACCACACTAGATTCAAATTACGTCCCCGAAGCCGCTGCTTATTACATGACGACGCACTCCTTGCAGAACCCCCGTGTTGGGTTGGACATTTGGAGAAGCTGAAAGCCCAACGTGTCTACTTTAATTCGCTTTTTTCGCTGCAAGCTACCCAAAGGAGATGGTCGTCTCATTCCGGCAAATACCAACCGTAATCAATCCTCAACAGCGGCCTGGCCGTGGCAAGGGGAACCGCTCAAATGTGGTGAAGCCACTTGTCGATCCCATGCAATGCGACTGCAGGACTGCAGAACTACAGAACCAGGTTCCTGTTTCGGACGGGAGACACGACAGGAAATACGCAGAGCAACCAAAGCCGCATGGCACTTTTACTGCTGCTCATGCTTCTGCTGCTCGTGTCCACCTGCGGCCCTTGGCTAGCTATGTCACTCGGTGTACCACAACAGTAGGTCATATGTAATATGGAAGAAAAGAGAGGCTCGTAAGTCGTAATGAAAACGAGCAGGAAGGAATGGGCGCTGTGACCACGGTTTGCCTCTGTGACCCCTTTTATTTAGCCATTACCAGCCCTGTTGGAGGAAAAGAAGGACCGAAGGGTAGGTAAGAGGGCAAGCAAACGAATCTTGGGGAGAGAGATGGGCGGCGCTAAGAACCGTTCGTGCAATAGTCTCAGGACGTTCTTTAGAGTTTTGAGATCTTAGATTTGAACCTGCTGAGATCTGAAGATGTCAAAAGGTCAGCCACCTGGTGGGGAATAGAGGGGAAAGGACTGCCTGTTCGAGGGTGACTTTTCAGGAATTACACATTTCTTTAAGATAATGTGACATGTTGGTGCGGGTTTAGTGGCGCACCCGAGCGTCGGGAACGCCACGGCCTATGGGATTCTCACTCTAAAGTAGGGTAGGTATCTTCAACGAGGTTCATCTCAGCAGCTGGGGATGCCAAGATGCGTTTCTCCTGAGCACCGACACGCCTTCCGCCATTCCTTCAATCTAAAGAGGCGTGAGAGGTCCAACAACATCCAAGAAGCGAAGGATGATAACCCTCCTCATCCTCCTCCATCGCGATGCGGCGTTTGCCCCGGAAACACGGCTCAACGCCCCGACCGTGCGGGGGAGACCTGATCCAGCTCCCGTGATCTAATTCCCTTTGGATTTTTTTGATGGGATCTCAAGCCATCAGCACGGCTCTCCCCAAGGCGTAGTGCGTGTATACCAATCCCCGGATGGTGGAGATGTGCGTGGTCTGACACTGGGCTGAATCTGGGGACGCCTTGAGCGCTCTGCGTCGCGTTTCCTCAGCTGTCACCGTCGCCGGGGCTGTCCTCACCAATGCAATATTCCCCCTTCCCCTCCCACCCCAACGAACGCCTCAACTGCCGTTTTGCTGGTCTGGACTTTTTTGTGCGTGAGACTCGAGTAGACCTCCCTCGCTCACGCCACGTGCCGCGTGCCCAGCTTACCCGTGGAAAGAAACCCCCTATTCCCCATCTCGCCCCTCCACCCGATCCCGAGAACCCCAAACATGATCCTCCCGTCCTCGCCCGGCTGCGCCCTCGTCCCCTCGGCCTCCTCCACCACGAAGCACACTTGCTCGACCTCGCCCGGGTGCAGCACCGGCCGCGCGCCCCCGCCCGTCTCCCAGTTGCAGTCCGTGTAGCCTAACCCGTCGGCCAGGTCCAGCACCACCTTTTCGAGCTGGATCACGTCCTCGGAGCAGTTCTCCAGCTGGGCCTCCATGACCCACCGCCGCTTCCCACCACCACCGGTCTGTTTCTTGCCGGAAGAAGCGGGAGCGAGCGGGCCGATCTTCGTGCGGACGATGAGCGAGGACTTGCAGATGAACTGGTACAGCTTCCGAAAGGTGCGCGTCTTGCCCGAGGTCTCGGTGGCTTCGTAGTAGCTCACCGTCACGGCGAGGACGTGGTTGCCTTCCTCTTTGAGATCAAAGTTCACGATGCGCTGGAGGGTGTCGCCGGCCTCGAGGTCCGTTCCCTTGAGGTCATCGTCGCCGCCGCCGCCGCCGGTATCCGCAGAGTCTGGCGGGGAGAGGTCGAGCTTCTGGATCGAGTTCGCGCCGGGGGTCTTCATTTCCGCTTCGATGCGGACGTCACGGATGCTCTTGCGCTTTGCCGGGGCCGCCGATGCTGCTGCTGGTGCACCGGTGGCGCCGAGGGGTCCTCCTCCCCCGGGGACTGCTGCTACGGGCTCGGGGACATCGTGGTTTGCGCAGAGGGTGCAGCTGAATGTTTCGCCTACGTAGGCGGAGCCGAAGCTCAGCGGGAGGTTGAGGATCGGGGAGAGGAGGAAGGGGGAGGGGTTCGTTGAGGCGGTTGTGTCGTAGGCGAGGGAGGCCGGGGTCGGGTCGGCGGGGAGGGTTGAGGGCGTCAGCGGGGGCCGGATCGGGTGTTGGATTACGAGGGAGGGGCGGGATAGTCTGTTGGTTTTTTTTTTTCGTGTTAGAGAAGCATGTTCTTTTTCTTTAGGTATTGGCGGATTAAGTGAGAGGGCAAGGCGGCACTCCAGCTGCGTGTAAGTCGGGATCTCTACCTGAGGACTTTCAAGGAGACGGAGTGAGGCTCCTTTAGGGGGTCGTGTGACGGGTATCTTTGATGGCTCATGACTGCGGTGTTCGCGTCTCGCTGGCCGATGGAGAGAGGGTGAGTTGCTTGGAGGGATTCGGTGTGTCGTCGGGCTCGGGTAGCGGGGGATGCGCCGCGGGACGAGATATGATAATTGGAGATACGGAGAGGTGAGAGACGTTGGAGAGATGGGCTGGTGGGACGAAATGACGATTGGGGGTCTTACCTTACCTTAGTAGCTCTGGTGGGTCCCGGGATGTCTTTTATCGATAAGAGAGTGGGTGTGTGGAAAGACCCAGGCCGGCGGGCGGAGCTCTCCCCCCGCATGCCATGGCCCCACCCGGGGTTCCGATTTCGAGGTCCACGGAGGGCGGACGGACCCGCGCACTGTGGATGAATTGTCCTCCAAAGTTTTGTTCCAGTCCCGAGTAAAGGAACAAGGTATCTCGTAGTGAAAGCAGTTTTAAAAATATGGGCCAGAAGATTTTTCAGGTGGCCAGCTTCGCTAACGGCACGATGATATAACTCCGGTCTGCAGGTTCACAATTCGGTTGCAGATGTCAAGTAGTTTCGCGAGTTTCCTCTCTGTCATTTGTAAGGGGCGTTTGGCAGCATCATTCAACTCTTGGTCGCAGATAAACGAAACCATACATCACCCAGCACTACACTAACCCGCCCATATTTTGGCATGTTTTAGTACACATAGCCATTCCATAACCATTCTGGCCTATGGATGTCATGGATATTGAGACTAATGGAATGGTCTGCAATGAAGATGAGGTGGAAGATCTGGGAAAGTTCTGGTGTGTTCATTAGCTTTTGGAGGAGAAGCCGTTTGGAAGCATCAGTATACCATCTTCGTACGGAAGACTATCGTGATGGTTTTGAGCGGCCAACTTAGACCATCAACCATATTTGAGATCTCTGTCGGCTTCCACCGAAATCCACGCTCACATTTAATTCATTGAGAGTATGGCGATGGCAGGTTGTAATAGCCTCTGCCAGCACAAGAGATGTGATATTAGACCTCCGCCCAGCAAATCCTGGGCATGACGGATACGCTAACTAGGCCAGATGCTCTCGAATGGTCGAGGGTTTCCGCAATGTTCCGTGCTACTCAGACCACATACTGGGACACATGTGGCTGGATAAGAAGGTAGCCTAGAGCGGTCAATCAGACCGAGACGTATGGGGAGGATAGCTTTTGGTGCAGTGCTCAGGAGAGAACAAGCCTGACAACAAGTCCTTCCCACTTTTTCCCTTTGAGAGATTCAAAACTGACTTGAAGTGTTGTCCACTTCATGCCAACAACTATAGTCGGAGGAACTGCCTTTTGACAGGATGGTAGTCCTTGGTTCGAAGAGAATCCTTAAATGATTTATTTCAGCTCAGAGAGATTACCTCATCGGATGCCTTCAGCTACAGTCGTTCCTTTTACCAGCCCGTGTGGCCTGACCACACCCCAGTTCTGGACGTAATGGGAGATGTCAATTCTACCATCATGTCGTTAGCGAAGCTGGTCGCTTGAAACGTCTTTTAGCTTGTGTTCGTAGGACCACTTTCGCTGCATGCCGTAGTTCATGTGTAAAGTGGTGTGCGCCTGCATCGCTCCTTCCTCCCGCTACATCCCTCCTTTCTCAACCTAAGTACCTTACCAACTTCGCGGAGACTGAGGGTATACATCCCTTCCCAACGTCGTTCCTGTCACCACCACCCCGCGGTCAACTGGCCGAGTGGGTTCGACTCTGGCGCAGAGTCGAGATTAAATAAAATACCCCAATGAAACCAGTGGTGGTCGGAGGGGCGCGCTGTTTGATTCCGGATAGTGGCGTGAAGTATCGAGTAAGTTATCAACAGCCCTTCCTTCCTTTCCTTTCCCTTTTCTTTTCTGGTTTGTTTTCTAAGCAGTCTGAGATGTTGTTTGTCGAAGTTAAATATGACACTTTCCTGCATCGCCTTTTGCTAGATTGAGTCTCGAAAGCAAGATTACCTCCTCATTGCTCCTCCCAAGAGAAACGATGCAAAGCTTATCATAGCAGGAAAAGTAGAAGCAGAATATTACATATGTATCTCCGCTATGCCGTGGCAAGTCAGTGACACCATCAGCTAATGCGCCGACGAGTAAAGGAATAGCTCGGCAGGACTGATATCACGAAGCCCTGACAGGATTAAATGTACACAGACGTCATGTGTTGCTTTGTGGTAATATTACTATGTCTGTTGAGTCATATACAACTTCATCTGTACCTCCTTTAACGTCCAAATGACCATCCCCTGCACAAAGCCGCTCACATTCTACAGTGATGCGCCTCTGATGATTCTCCCCACCACTTCGTGGTTTTGCAATTTTGACTATCATCAATACCTTAGACCCGTTCTTCTTTCCTGAAGTCTCTCTCTAAAGGCCAGGAGGGGGCGGTACCTATTCTCTGTGTTAGCAAAGTTTCTCGGTCAACGTTGAAGTAATGGTACTTACAGCACCGTAGCCTCCTCCAGTGCCTGGAGGCGCGCCTGAGGGAGGGGGAGGGGGAGCAGAGCTCGGAGGAGGTGGAGGAGGAGCAGCCTCGCTGGGAGGCGGGGGTGGAGGGGATGCCGCTGCTCCCGGGGGCGCGGGTGAGCCTTGCTGCTGTGCTTGTGCGGCAGCATAGTACTGCTGGTACATTTGAACGTAAGCGGCATATCCGCCATAGGCAGCGTAAGGATCCTGACTGCCGTAGTACTGTGCGTACTGAGCGGCGTAGTCGGCTCCAGCGGCAGGGCTGTTAGAACCGCCGGCAGGAGCAGGGCTTGCTGATTGCCCAGCGTTGTGGCCGCCATAGCCGCCGCCGCCGCCGCCGCCGCCGTGACCACCGTGACCACCATGGCCGCCGTGGCCTCCGTATCCGGAGTTATAGCCGCCGCGGTCGCCGCGATCACCACCGTGACCGTGGCCTCCATATCCGCCATGGCCGCCATCGTGCCCCCGCGAGCGGTCGCCATAGCCCCCACGGTCACCATAACTACGAGGAGGTCTGCTCTTGAACTCTTCGTACTGCTCTTTGACATTCGCAATCAGATCCTCGCAAAGCTCCTTGGCCTTCTCAACCATCTTAGGGTCAGGTCCGCTATTCAGAGTCAGTACCTATGCGTTAATGTCGGCAAGGCGACAATGCACTTACGCGACGTGAAGATACATGTCCTCGTTACTCTCATGATTGGTGGCTGCCTCCAGATACCCGGAACCACGTCCTTTGATCTGGACGCGACACTGAGTCTCCTGCTGGATGTGCTTGACGTAGGCACCGCCGTGGCCAACAACTTGAGCGCGGAGGTTGAATCCGGGGACGGACTCCAAACCGATAGGGATCTTCTCCTCGGGCCATTTGCGCTGCAATATGTTAGACACAAATTTTCGAGACTGATTTGCATACATACTCGGCCATATTCGTCCCTCTCAACCTGCTCCTGGTCACGTCGACGGAAACGACGCTCATCTACCAGCGCGGGAAGTTCCTGTTTCATAAGTTCCTCAATCTTTGCCACGGCCTGCTCAAGTCCAGTCTTGGATGTACTTGTGACATGCAAGTACAAAGGCGGATTCTGAGGAGAGAGTCAGTGCGTGTTACTATACCATGGTTTTCGAAGTTGACATACCGCCGCAGTCGCCATGCTCTTGTCGGGATAGTAGTTTCCTCGGGTAGTAACATCTTGCAAAGTCAACCTTTGTTCCTAATTAGACGTAAAAGTGGGAGGTGTATCGTACCAGCACCAGTTTCTTCTTTGATCTAAATCAAGCAAATGGAGTCAGCAGGTGCCAAAGAGGGGTGATCTGTGCGAGCTATCGTGCCAAGTAAGCAGGATGATCTCGACACAAATCTGTTTACATGTAGGAAAGCGGAATGCGCTCGAGATGAGGCCTGGGAAGGAAGTATGATCAGTGGTTTTGCACAGGAGTATTTACCATCTTCTGAGTCGACCCCTTGGTCAAGAGGTATCTGTTACGAAGGTCGTTGACTTCAATGTCTTTGATGAAGTCGCCGTCGGCGATGTAAATCTCTCCATTGATCGTGTTGGCCGGATCGGGCGATTGGGCACCACCTGTAGGAGAAGTGTCGGTCTTGATCGGGGGAACGTCGACATGCTGAATGCCCTTCTTCGCTTGGAGTTGCGCGTTGATTCGCGCGGCCGCGGCAGCTATGAGTCTATTAGCCATTCATTCTACAGCCAAAGCGAGGCGCAACCCGTACCAGCCGCAGCAGCGGCATCTACCGGCGACTTCTTCGGTTCTGTCGCCTGGTCATTGGGAAGAGGGCTACGCTCTCTTGCCGACTCTGAACGTCTTCCAGGCGGCGATCTAGAGCGGCGGTCGAATCTCGAAGCCTTGCGAGGCTCGGGTTCGGTTTGGTCGAATCGCGAGCGCTTGGCGGAGCGTCGCTCGGTGTCGTCCATTGCGACGTCTGGGATGCAGTGATGTTGAAACTATAGTCGCTCGTTGTCGGTTTTCGCGTTCGGCGTGCGTTTGGGTAATGCGCAAGCGCCTGGCGATCGATATGTGGGAAGTAAAAGATTGGGATAGTAAAATTTACGAGGTATGAAGCTCTTTGGAGGTGGAGCCTTGGAGAGACGGACGGGCCAAAATAAAGTGGCTTGGCCCGTGCGGCAAGACGATTCTGTCGACGGTCGTTCCCATGAGCGTCGATGGGCCTGGCCGTCACGGATTTAGCGCCTCAGGTGTCAGACGTAGCTGCTGTTTTTAGTCTGCACCAGCCACATGGTAGCATCGGAGCGATTATCGGCAGGAATGGAAGAATGCGGCCAACGGGACCATCCTCACACTTGACGCTCTACCTATTCCTCTTCAAGCGACAGCTCACAATTGATGTTTTTCCTGGTCTGATATTCTTTGGCTCAGTGACCTTGGCATGGAATCTGTGGATCTCAAAGCTTACGGTCATTTGAGTGTTTCGACGGGAGTTTAAGATGTCCTGAACCAAATGCCTATCTGCAGTTCGGATATTGTCTTGCTAACAACAATCAATTCGCAAATGAAAGATGACAACACAGTTGCAAACACGAAGTACTTAGGTATATGATCTCTCCTGCAACTACTGCGTAGAAGTAGTTGAACTGTAGACTAGCTTCTGTTGCAAAGTCTCTCGGTTCCAGGTCACTGACTCAAGGTGAGGTACCGAGATAGGTCTACTTTGCATGATACTGAGAGTAAGCAATAAGTCTTTGAACTCAGATTGACGGCCAGATGCGATTTGAGCGGTTGCCTAGTGACAAAACAATTCAGTACCCGAAACCTTTCTTTTCAAGCTATCCATGTGTCTGAGATATCCTCACTTGAACCTGTGTTGGCTACTGACTACAAAAGGTCCAGTACTGTAGGATCAACAATGTGTGCTTCTCTCATCCCAATCCTACCTTTCTCTATCATAAAAACATGGTGATTACTTTGGAAATGCTGCTACAGGTCAGCAAGTGACACAGTGCCGGATGTAACCCCGCACCCTCCAAGCCGACCCCGCGATGCAGTGTCAGTAGGGAGTCCACTCTCTCGGTGAAAACCCCCTGTCAGTAGCTGATCCGTGCCCCTCTACCCCTGCGAACAGCCAGCTCCCCTGCTTCCGCGCCTCCGACTTGCCTCCGAAGAAATCGTCCCCCAATCTCCTCAAATTTTCCCAGTGGGAACTGACACAGACGGTGAGTCAGGGTGCTTCTTCCTTATCTCCCCCAAGCCATTGAACCTCGGAAGCTCACACTACTCCAAGGCTCTCTTGAGATTTCCTCTTTCCTCTGGTCCAAAAAGAGAGCAATTGGCTTGTTCTCGCGAATTTGAACCTGGAAAGATGGCGTCTCGTCGCCTCCTTTCGACCTCGCTCTGGCGGGCCGCCGCCGCCCCGGCTCAAGCGACATCGCTCTCTGCCGCCGCACGATGGAGCTCAACCACCAGCTCGACCTCTGCCATCGCCTACAAGGCTCTTCGACGTCGCTCGGCGCCTCTGCCCGTCAGCGACAGCCCGCCCGCCTGGTCCGCCCAGGCCGCCGTCTCTAACATCCTCTACGACATGCCCTCCCCGTCGTCTCAACCCCCGAAGCGTCACATCCTCAACTGCCTGGTCCAGAACGAGCCCGGTGTCTTGTCCCGCGTCTCCGGCATTCTCGCCGCCCGCGGCTTCAACATTGACTCCCTCGTCGTGTGCAGCACCGAGGTCGATGACCTCTCGCGCATGACCATTGTCCTGACCGGACAGGATGGTGTTGTCGAGCAGGCCAGACGCCAATTGGAGGATCTCGTCCCCGTCTGGGCCGTCTTGGACTACACCAACGCCGCCCTGGTTCAGCGCGAGCTTTTGCTGGCCAAGATCAACATTCTTGGACCCGAGTACTTTGAGGAGCTGCTCGCTCACCACCGTGAGATGACGGCTGTCGACGTCGAGGAGCATGCGCTCGAGGGCGAGCAGCAGCAGACTCTGGAGGATGTCGCCAAGGACTTCCACCCCAGCAAGTTGGCTGTCAGTCAGGCATTGCGCCACAAGCACGAGCATCTCAAGTCCATCACCTACTTCGCCCACCAGTTCGGAGGAAAGGTCCTGGATATCAGCACCAACAGCTGCATTGTGGAAGTGTAAGTCTACTCTACTCCTCAGCCGACGGAAGCCGGAAAAAAAAGCATTTACTGACAATCGCGCAGCTCCGCCAAGCCGTCCAGAATCGACTCTTTCCTGAAGCTCATCGGACCCTTTGGTATTCTCGAGTCCGCCCGCACTGGTCTGATGGCCCTGCCCCGTTCCCCGTTGTACGGACCCAACGAGGAGACGATTATTAAGGAAGCGGATGAGGTTGTCGACGCTAGCCAGCTTCCCCCTGGTTAAGCTATTTTGTATTAAAGAATATCCGGCGTTGGTAAAAAGGGGTATTGCCATCTTTTTCAATGCTACCAAGTTGCTACACAATCTGTACCATTTGTTTGCCAAAGAAAGAAACGCCTCGCTTTTGTTGTAGCTGTGAGCCTTTTAAACGCCGACACATATCCCATTTAGATCTTGCCCTTGTTCACAACGAAGCCCTCGAGGGCAGCTGTTCAATCGTTAGCGTCGTGAAGTCTGCCGAGAGATATGGGAATTGAACTTACAAACAGCGGCCCAGAGACGGTTCTCGGCCTCGGGGAAGACCAAGGAACGAGGGCTGTAAAAGACCTCATCGGCTACCTCCTCGGGGTGACGAGGCAGGCAGTGCATAAACTTCCAGCCCTCCTTAGCACCGCCTCGCTTGGCCAGGTCGTTGGTGATCTGGAAGCCGGCAAAGGCCTTGAGGCGCTTCTGGGTCTCGGTCTCCTGGCCCATGGAAACCCACGTATCGGTCACCAGGATGTCGGCGTTTTTGCAGGCCTCCTCAGGGACGGTTGTCTCTGTGAGCTTACCGGGAGAGGCAACGCCCTTGGCAGCAGAGTTGATGACGGCCTTCATGACCTCGGGAATGCTGTAGCCAGTAGGCGAGGCCACGGAGATATCGACGCCCATCTTGACGCAGCCGATGGCCAGATCAAAGAGGACATTGTTGGAGTCTCCGATCCACGCGACCTTCATTCCTTTCAGGCCCAGATCGGCCTTGTCTGAGGTGGCAGAAGCAGGGAATGCCTCGTGGATAGTCAGGAAGTCGGCAATAATCTGCAGAGGATGGTAGTCGTCGGAGAGCGCGTTGATGACGGGGACGCTAGAGTCCTTGGCCAGCCCGGCGACATCAGAGTGAGGACCGACACGGGCGACCATGCAGGAGGTCATGGAAGAGATGACCTTGGAGGTGTCATACAGAGACTCATTGACCTAGACAGCCTGTTACTTGAATGCACTCCATCTCATGTGAGCTTCAGTCAACGTACCCCGAGCTGAATGTCATCCTTGCCCAAGAACATGGGATGACCACCCATGAGAGCCACGGCAGCTTCCGTCGACACGCGAGTACGGGTACTGCGCTTGCTGAACATCATGGCAACGGTCTTGCCGGTCAAGCTCGATGCGAGCGCCTGGGGCACATTGCCGGACTTGACTGCGGTTTTGTTTGAGGCGGCGTTGCGGACGAGGGTAGCGAACTCGGCCGGGCTCAAGTCCGCAATGGACATGAGATGGCGCGGGCCGGTCGATTGTGAGTATGCGCGGCTCTGGGCGCCGTTGAGAGCTTGACGAGTGACTCGGAAAGCTGTTTGCTTCATGGTGGGCGACTTGGTGTGTCGAGCCTTAATGTCTGAAATGTGAGAAGTCGTAGACCGCTTGGTGAAGGCAGAGTCAAGTCAATCGAGGGTCAATGGATGAAGCTTGGATCTAAAGTTGTAAACAGTAAGAAAAAAATGGCTAGTGAGTCGAAGTGGTGGTCAATTGATGAGTATTAAGAGTTGATTGAGTCACGATTGGATTGGATGGATAGCTTCAGTGAGAGACCACAACGGCCAGGACCTCCACAAAGTCTCCTGCGGGCTGCAAACTCAACGAACTCCTCACCGCTTTACACCGAAAATTTCAGAGTCACCCTTTGCCTGTAAATCACAGGGCGTTACAGGGCGTATGCAAGGTCATAATGGAAGGATAGCGCGATAAGGATTACAGAGGCGAGACACTGACACTGTGTACCTAGATAAGGTACCTTTCCTAACGGCATTTGTTGCTGCGTGAGCCCAAACCACCCAGTCTGTCGAAGGCGCCGGAACCGGAACTCGCCAACAACATAAGTTGGCCTTAGTCCGGGCAGTCACCGGTGGGCAGTGATTTACTGCTGCAACTGCAACAGTGCAGGCTGAGGGTGCACAGGTGGTGCATGTGTGCCTGAGAAGGAAGGAATGGCCCGTGCCCACCCGGCCAGGCACTGGAGGGCAATTGAGGCGTGGGAGGGAAGATCATCCCCAGCCATCCACATGGGCGCTGAGTGGAAAGTCCGCCCTGGTGACCAGATCTCGTCTCATTGGTTTCAGCTGACCTCCACCCCGGCCTCTTCAACTGCACTGCCCGTCCTGGGATGAACCAAGTTACTTGACATCATCACCATTACGAATCCCGACTATCTGGATTGTCTGGGCAAGATCGGAACCACGTACACTTCCTCTCTGCATGATTTCCTTTTGTACGACTTTTCGTGGTTTCATTACTCTTTGTCATCTCGACCGGCGATGACGGACTTTCTTGCGCTCTGATCCGATAACGACACACCACAAACTGTGATCACGAGAATACTCTACACGCGATGGCTGAAGACGAAGAAAGATCGCCGCTCCTGGCGGGCAAGGGCAAGGGCAGGGCCGAAGATGACTCCTCATTGTCCGAATCGGCGCCTCTGTTGTCCAGCTCTTCTGCGACGCCCCGATACGATGGCGAGCAAGATGACCCAGAGAGGTCTCGCGCCGCCTCCCTCGCTTCGAACCCGCCGAGCACGACCACTAAGAGTTCTGTACGATG